GAGTATCCATGAGTTGAGGTTGAGTCGAGTAGAGTTGAGGTGAGTATGTTTCCTTCTTTCCAAGTTCAAGCTTTTATGTTATGTTCAATATTCCCTTGCATGCTCGTACATTCAATGTACTAATGTCGTTTGGCCTACATCGTTTCATGATGCAAATACAGGAGATCAGGGTCATCAACAGGTGATTCGTTGATACCATTTGCAATTCCAGAGTTGTTTGGTGAGCCTCCTTACTTTCGGAGGATCCCTTATTTATTTCCATCTATTTCAGTTTTGTTAGGATGTTCGGCGATCTTGTCCCGACATCTCTCATAGTATTAGAGGCTTCATAGATCGATAGACAGTAGTAGTTAAGAATTATGTTTTATTTTCTATTGTTAGTGTTCTAGACTTGAGTTGACCTTGTGGCCAGTTTGAATATTTCTAAATGTTCTAAGTTTAAGCATTTGAGGCATTTGAGTTAAAACTTTATATTTGAGTTATCTTATGTTGAGTAAGTCTTCCGTTGAGAGTTGAGTCAGGCAAAGGATTCGCTTGGGGCCAGCAATGGTACACTAGTGCCGGTCACGTCCAGGGTGTAAGCTCAGGGCGTGACATAGTAGTAGTAGAAGAAGTCTAGAAAATTGATTCTCTTAAAATGAGAGGAAATCCCTCTATTTATTGACAACAAAGGGTGGTGTGAAACAGTGCTTATTGTGCCTTACCGGAAAGGCCACAACCCTTTGGAAAGGTCACAACCTTTCATAAAAGTCGCAACTTTTGATAAAAGTCAGAACTCTTCATAAAAGTCACAACTCTTCATAAAAGTAGCAACTTTTCATAAAAGTCACAACTCTTCATAAAAGTCGTAACTCTTCATTTTCCATTCGCACCTTTTAAAACTCAACAAAATTAATGTAAAGACACAAGCTTTAAGTGAAAACATGAAAGAATCAAGAATATGTACAAATCAACCAAGAAAAAATACTATCAATAAAGCTTGAAACACTATTACACAAACACCTTCTTCTTCTTTTTAACCGGGAGAAGGATTAAAATTGTGTAGAACAAATTTTATTTTAATGTTTCTCCCTCTTAAAAAAAGAAGAAGAAGTATATGCTTGTGTAATAGTGTTTTAAGCTCTATTGATAGTGTTTCTTTTGGTAGATTTATATGTTGTTGATTCTTTCATATTTTCTCTTTAAGTTTGTGTTTGTCTTAATTTTTTATAGTTCTCTCTTTTAAACTTGTGAGGTTCTTGATTTTGCACTAAAATTGGTTCTTGATTGTATAGTGAAAATATTTTACTTTTTTTAAAGAAAATCTTTTGTGATTGATTGAGTAGGTGATGAGAAATTGTCTATTTTTTTTAGATAAAGGTTTAGAATTGTGTTAATCACTTTCCTTGTTAGTCGGTATTGAAAATAAAACTAACATTTGTATATTTCTCTGTAACTAAATTTACTTGTTTGTATTGAAAATATTTCTATGAATGGAAAACTAAAGTATTCGTGATCAGCTAGCATGTTTGATCTATGGATTAGAATATTCAGACATGTTAAATCTGTATGATGTTTAGTTAAACATATTTTGTGACTATATTTGTTGAGAAAAAAATATCTATTCAAATGATAGTTTATATATGATGGTGATACGAAAATATGATAAATATATCCTGACAATTATTTGAGAGAGTTGATTTGCTTGTACGGAATGATAATTAATATTGTATGCCAAAAACATGATAGTTTATATATGATGGTGATACGAAAATATGATAAATATATCCTGACAATTATTTGAGAGAGTTGATTTGCTTGTACGGAATGATAATTAATATTGTATGCCAAAAACAACCAATTCTTAGCCCTTCTTTGAGATCAGTGGAATATTGTCACTCATCGATGTGGGGTTACATGTGTATAATTTTTGGAGAATTAATTAAATAAACAATTACTCATATTTTTATAGTTGATGCTAACTTGTTTGAGACTAAGATAGTATTGCTCTTATTATTTTCTTTTTTCAATTGGCTAAACATAATATTTGCCATACCAAGATAGACAATTATCGTCTTGAGATTATATTGATTTAGGGTGTGTTTGGACTCAAGGGCGGCTCAACATAATTCGAGGCCTAAAATTTAAATAAATTTTATCTGTATTTATTTATTTTTCTAAATTTTTAGATGTAAATTATTACTTAATATCTTTTTTATAAATAATTTTTTCAAATACTTCTTTTAAGAGAAAATTACCCGTATAAGCAAACATATACTAGTTAATTACTTAACATAATAGTTTGCTTTAATTACAATTCGCGACCTACTTTTAGCTATAATTACGCGGCTCAACATTTTAATTTTGTTAATTCGCACGTTTGTATAATTCGGAATTTGTGTAATATAATTTGTGTAACTTTTGTATAATATAATTTGTCTAACTTTTGTATAATTCAAAATTTGTATAATATAATTTGTATAACTATTTAACTTCTGATGTTGGTAATTGTATAAATTCGTTATTTCGAGTTTATACAAAAATAACTGAATTATACAAATGTACCCGCGAATTATACAAATGAGACAACTTAAACTGTAGCTACAACCCGTAAATATGCAAACTATAGCCATGGAGCATAATTAAGTTCATTATAGTGGCTATTTGCGAAAGTTCCTCTTTTTTAATTATTATTTTTAGGTAAGATTTTATCAATTCAACATTGAAAAACATCATTCTATTGAGACAATTATTATATGAATTGATAACATAATTCTATAAGTAATAAGTTGATAAATTTTAAATAAAGATAAGAGTTAGAATCATAGAATATGATTCAAAAAGTTGATAACATGGTATACCCTACTTTAATATGAAAAGTTACGAAGAAATTAAAAAGAAAATTGTAATTTACTTTGTTCAACACTTTTCGACTATTAGTTCATATTTTTGACAGAGTATTACTCTAACTATCAAAGATTTGAAGAAATAGAGTGTAGAAGGAGTTAAAAGGATAAACAATATGAGTGTTAGCGAAGAAAACATAAGAATCCAAAATAATGTTTTCTTGATTTCTTCTATTTTAATGGGGTTAAGAAGATTAAAATAATATATATATATATATATATATATTTCATTATAAATAATTAATTTTTTTCATGAAAAAATTAAACATAAGTTTTTATTTATAGAAATTTGAGGAGGGCCCAAGGCATTGGCCTTAAAATTTATTGGCAAGAGCCGGCACTGTGTTTGGTGTGAAGGAAAATGTTTTTCATGGAAAATATTTTTTTGGAAAACAAGTGAATTTCTAATTTATTTTCTCATGTTTTGTTGGTGAGTAGGTGTTTGATTGGTGAATGAAAATAATTTCGGTGTAAATGCACGTTTTGGAACTCCTTTTACTTCTTGTGATATGGTATATTAACCCTTCCTTTGCGTGATTTCGTTAATTAATTTGACACAGGCAAAGGCTGCTTTTGCTGATGAATTGAGGAGGATCTGAAAGATGAGGAAAACCACTGTATGTTGTGTTACGAGAGGGGGGCGAAACATTGGATTCTTTGATAGCAAATGAATTCTTTCATCGCGAAATCTGAATAATATCCGTTACTTGAAGTGGTTCTTTCATCAGGAGACGCTTGATTTTGCATATGACCAATTGAGATACTAGGGAACAATATTCCCAATTTCTTGTGAATTCTTAGCCTATTTTTGTACTCATTCTAGAGTTAAAGACTAACCACAAAATCACAAAGAAAATAGAATCATAAGTTTGATTCCTTGTATAAAACACACGTGTAAGAAATATTCGGTTGCATGTAAAGTGTAGTTCACAGATGAAAAAATGGCAATATGGATTCATTTTCATTGTTCTTTAAATGATTATTATGTGTGTTGAGAGATTACTTCTCACATGTTTTTTTCAAATGAATGGTTGAGTTTCAAAAGGTTTAAGCTCCTCTATTTCAAGATGACATGATTTTAGGAACTTGCAGTTTGACTTTAGTATCCAGTAAAGCATAGATGATATGGGTAAATGGTAATCACATCATCCCTCACCCAACTCTTTTTTATCCTTACTAAATATAAGTAGGTCGGATATTTATCACATTTTTAACCTGCCCATTTGCCAAGCCCGTTAGTGAGAACATATTTATATGCAAATCGAGATGAAAGCAGTAAAAGTATCCACACCTGGATTATATGACGAAAACTTTTTACTCCTATGAATATCCAACGAAAACCAGTACAGGTTCTCACAATGTATCTAGATTTGCCACCTTCATAGGATACACGTCCATATAACTCAAGCTCCTATTTGTCTCAAAAACAGAATATGCAAAAACAGTCACTGTTCCTAACAATGTCTGAAGATCAACACTTGTTGAGCTCCATTTACAGCTATTGAGGCACTTTCACTCAACTTAGTGTGATGGTTCTATCCCTCTGTCTTTGTTTTTACTCCATTTTTTAAACCTGCAAGTACGGACTGCTACTGTCTTACTGAGAACCAAATGGTCGATCCTCAACCACTAGAGTTGTATCCCTGCTCTAGAACAAGTAACTTTAACTGCCAGAACTTGAGACATCATCCTTGAGCCGCATCTACTGAAGCTAAAGAACAAACTTTTACGTCAGTGACTTGGATAGGGACTATTTTTTAATAAAATCTCAAAGAGAGCGATCATTATTTTCATGTGTAGGAGGGTTCACACTTGACCTATAGCACAGAACAGGGTCATAGGTTCAATCTACTGAGTTAGAAAATTGGAAAAAGCTTAGCGTAATGAAATCATTCATAAAGAAGGAACCAAAGTTGAATTATGCCATTGATTACTGGTAGCCACACTTCCAGAAGTCGAGAATAACTTGACCTCAGCTCAGTGTCTCTGGGTGTAGATGAGGTTTTTTTTAAAGGCTCTTCTTCAAGTTATGCGACCACTTTGAGTATTTTGATATGAGGGCATTGTTGAATAGAACAGGTTAAGGCCCGAGCAACAAGGAAACACCACATTCAAAGGGGAGATCATGCTTCATTCCTGATCCAAAGAAGAAAAGGAGGAAAAGCAGGTATTTTTACCATTAAGGTTCTGAAAGATACAAAAACTTTTCGTGTTTGGCATTATGTTCCGTATCTTCTACATGTTTCAACGGGTTGAGAGGGATGATCCGCTGATAGTTGCCTGTATTGGTGTCCTAGATAAAATGCTGTCAGTATCCACATCAAGCAGACCTGAAAGAAGAACCAAAGTTACGTTGAACATTCAACCTTTATTTCTCTGAGGCTTTTCAATCACTAAATAGAAGTGTGCAGTAGTGTGTATCCACTATCCAATCATCTGGAATTGTATAAATCTAAAACTATAATTTCAAGACATTAAGAGTAGTGTTGTCAAGGAGGGTTTTACTTACAGGCAGGGCATATAGAGAAACAGCTGATGCCTTGCCACTGAGAGTGCTGAAGAGTAGCTTGTACATTGTAGCTGCTGTAGCATCCCCAAGTCTTTGAACAATCACATCTATGCATACCTGCATAGACACGTTGGCATACCACAAAAAGAAACAATAAGAATCATTCTACTGCTAGGGATATTCAAGTGACACTTATAACCACAACAATCCTTTCAAGTGTCATGAAACACTTGTGCAGACATAATAAAATAATGCTTAACCTTCTAGCTTTGCTATATCCTATCAAAAAGATTTTTTAAATTGGAAATCAAGATTTGCTACAGACAGGATATTCACAATTCAAGCTGCTGCTAATATGTAAGATGGAACAATGATAATCTTTCAGGTCACTATTTTTGTAACATACCTTTGCTTTATACTTCTCGTCCTGTGAGACAACAGTGAAAAGAAGCTCCCTTGCAGGCCTGGTAACGACGTATGTGACCACCTATCGTAAAAGACAAAAAATATGAGGCTCAATTGCAGAAGTGTATGCCTACGCCTACTTATCTTTTATTCGTCACAAAACCTGTTGGCACGGTATATTCAGTACACCTTAACTTTTCTTTGTTCTAATTATCCACCGCATACTTGGGTTTTTGATAGCCTCAACCCCTTGGATGGTGATGCAGGAAAGAGTGTGGATACACTCTCTTCTAAGGGCATGGAAGTAAAGAAAATTGAAAAATTAACTTCCGAGTGAGGTACTTTCCAACCATTGATTGCCATATAGATAGTCTATTTGTTCCAATTGTCTCTTTCTCCTTGCTTCTTCATAATATACAAGGCATATTTTACCCCATCTTTGAACTTTTTATTTCTCCTTTCAAAGGAAAAGTTTATCTGTTTCAACTGTGTATTTCTTCTTTTTGACACTAACTGTGTATTTCTTCTTTTCATACCAAAAATGCAAAAGAATTGGCTGAACACCATTATTTTTAACCAAATAAAAAGTTTTAGCTACAATAATGGGTTCTAATTGTATATTTCTTTCTGTTTCTTTGGCTAAAATAGCTATTTATTCCTATTCTGTATTATTATTTAAGACAAATCTGTGAAGAACATAGTTGAAATTTCATTATTTTAAGCCAAATAAAAAAAGTTTTAGCCAAAATAATTTAGTTTCAATTGTGTATTTCCTTTTGTTGCTTCTTTAGATGTGATGTCTATTCATTTTAACTATGTAATTTTTCTTTTTTAGGGTAAATCTGTAAAAAAAAAAACTTGGCTAGAACTTCATCATCTCCTGCCAAATAATAAAAGCTTTAGACAATATAAATATATAATAGAGTACCAACAGTGTAATTCTTTTTATTTCTTTTTTTTTAAACCGGTAACTTTGTATATTCCTCAAAAGAGAGTACTAAAACTGTACTGGTCAATATTTACACAAGTACTTCAAATCCTACTATCTTTTCCTAAATTGAGTATGGTACATCAATTACGGAGATTGTATCATTTGAGTATAACTGATTACACCAAAAAAAAAATAGAAGCATAAAACAATATAGCTTGACTTTTTGCATACTGTTCTCTATACTATCAAAAGTTCTAGGTCTTGTATCCTGATATATATCCTCTAGTATCCCACCAGCAGAAGACCATAGTAGATCATTGGACTCCTCAAGGGTGGAACTTCATCTTTAGAAGACAATTAAATGACTGTGAGATTCAGAGGGTAGCAGATTTTTTCAACACCACTGAGCAATCTAATGGACTGGAAGGGGGTCAAGACATTTTGTGGTGGAAAGGCAGTCAGAAGGGTAGTTTTAAGGTGGGCTATGCATACAAAAACCACCCCAATCAGCCTCACAGTCATTGGAGAGGAATCTGGAAGTCAGAAATCCCACTCAAAGTGGCCTGTTTTGTCTGGTTGTTAGCCAAAGAAGTTGTACTGTCTCAAGACAACTTAAAGAGGAGGTGGATACCATTACGTTCTAGATATTTTTTTTTGTGGGGAAATTGCTGACAGGCAAGCATCTCTTTCTACATTGCAAGATCACTGGCCAACAATGGAGGTTATTCCTGAATCCTGAATCTTAAGGGTATGCCATGGACCATGCCTGCCAAGATCACAGAAGCAATCCAGAGTTGGGAGGAAGCAGGAAAGCAGTCCAAGAACAGAGACAAATGGAGAATTATCACAGCTAGTATATGGTGGGCAATATGGAAGGAAAGGAACTCTATAGCCTACCTGCTTCATGCCAAACATCCTTCCAAAATTTTGTTTTCTCTCCATTCCCCACTTTGATCTTTGTGTTAGCATTAAATTCATGTCACAGAGATCTAATGAATCTCCATACACTGACCCCATATGGTGTAATCACCTCTTTGGTCATCCATTTGTCTTCATCTACATATTTTGCGTTAATGACTTCCTTCCAGTAGGTCGGCTCTTCATTATTGAACTTCCACAGCCATTTTATCCTAAGGGTTTTGCTCTAATTCATCAAGTTCTTTATTCCCGGACCCCAATGCTTCTTTCCCACTATCACAGCATCCCATTTAACCAAGTTGTAGCCTTAATTCTTACTGTTTCCTTGCCAGAGGAATTTTCTTCTCATTTATCCAACCTATTGATTACCCTCTTGGGAATTAGGAATACTAACATCATATAGATTGGTAGTGAATCAAGAACAAAATTAATCAAGGTCAACCAACCACCCCTAGAGATATGTTGTGATTTCCATCTTGCTATTTTTATTTCTTCTTTTCTTTTGATGCAATGAACTTTTGTTTCCAACTTATATTTCTTATCAATTCCATAAAGAGTTTATTATTAGGGATGTGCATAATTTGGATTAACTCAAAAATCAAACCAAACCGATTTTTTTTTGTTATTTAGTTTGGTTTTTTGGTATGGTTTTGGATTAGAAATTTTGGTTTCTTGGTTTGGTTTCAGATTTTAGAAAACAAATACCGAAAAATTGAACCAATAGAGTATATATTATGTTTATATATATATATATATATGTATATAACGCATTTCATTCTTGGTACATGGTCAATAAAGAAATAGACTAGCATTAAACAATACCTACATTTTGGTTTGATATTAATATTAGGAGTGCAATTTGTTGACTTGTTCCATTATGCTTTTGTAGGAGACTAGCAGTGTTTGGCTATCTCATCAAACATATATATATATATATATTGTTACCCTAGCAGTGTTGTCCACTATTTCAATCATGTGAATTGAATTTAGGAAAAGTAGTTAATTTAAGAGAATGTCATTACCACTTCTCATTCTTTATAATAGTTATTCTTTTTTTGTCATTTAAATATAACTATTCAATTATATTAGATCTGTGTTTTCTTATATGACACAACTGAATAACCAAAAACACAAACTGAAAAAAAAGTAAAAATGAACCGAAAAGAGCAAACCGAATCAAACCAAATTTATTTTGATTCAGATTGGATGACATTTTATCAAAACCATAAAATGAAAAACAGAAACCTAATGATGCAAAACAAAACCAAAAAATCGGATGCACAGTCCAATCCATTATATTCTGTCAAACGAAAAAAATATCACCTCAATAATGGAGTTGCTAACTCTTTTACGAATTTGGCCCGCAAAAGATGATCCAAAAATTCAATGAGTATAAAAAGAATTTTATTTTTAAAAAATGACACATCGACAAAGAATCCACATGGCAGCGCGTGGGTCTCACCTCCATTAGATGAGATTGGTCTATAGGGAAAGGAGGAGGTAATGACGACTACGGAAAGTTTAGGTGTGGACTAAGTGCCCATTTGAATTGGCTTATTTTAGGTGTTTTAAAGCCAAAATAGCTTTTAAGCAGTTTTGTAGTGTTTGGGTAAACTAAATAAGTGCTTATAAGAACTTATTTATAAGACAATAACAAAAATTCTAACTTGTGACTTTTGGCTACAAGTCATAAGCCAAAACTCGATCCACACAGGCACTAAATAAATTGTGCCAAGTTTATGGGGTAATAATGTATTCTGCCAACTAAAAATTGTACGAATGCCAGAATGGCGTTCCTCTTTTACAACTTCTTGTGATTATTTTTATTACTTTTCTTTAGAGGTTGGGAAAAGGATGTAAGGAAAATATACCTTCCTCAGGGTTTCTGAGATGGCCACTGCAATCCATGTGGGCCATACTGCTAAAGCAATTAGATTCACGAAGGCAACAAAAGGTGCAGAGCAAATGGCTAGAGTAACACCAGCAAAAGTAAGGATGCCCCCCTGCAACCAAGTGGTGAATAAGGACTTTTAAAACGTGTGACACTAGAGATACCAATTAAAATGAATCATGTTGTAACATGTTGTGAATGTAGAGAAATATAAAAGAAAGAAAGGGAACTGCAGTTCAAGAAAATAGGAAACTGATCAACTTAAAAAACTGTCCTAGATATCTTATCACTTCAAAATTCTACTTACTCTGACTTTGCATACATGGGAATTCTTTGTAGATCCATCAAAATAAACTTCTAACTCACTAGGAGCTGACATTAACCAACAAGATATTAACACTCTTACACACCCCCAAGTGATAGAAATAGTTTATGTTCTATGGTGGAACTCAGATAAGGAAAGTGATGCGAATGACAAGAATATTTGGAGAGGAAGAAGCCTTCACCACAGGCTCCAGTCAGAACCTCCATCACATTGAGAGTAGATAAGAGAAGTTTTAAATTAGAGTTGTTCAAGTAGCATGTAGAGATTGTATACACTTCCACAAATTGGAGAAATTGAATATCCCCTCAAAAACCCCTTTCCCTCAGACACACAAAAGGGAGAAATAGGATTAGCTTCATGATTGAACTTTTGCATGTTATATAGATCTACACCATACCGTCAAAGTGAGCTGTCCAGCAAGGATAAAAATAGCAATAAAACTATTGATCTGTGCAAATAATCTTCTTCTACCAGTGGGATCTGTTACTGCAGCAGCAATAACAGTTACTTTCTGCAAAAGAGTCAAAAGGTTGGGAGTGAGGCTGCAGTAACTATAAGCGGGTTTTTCATAAAGGCGGTCATCTATGTGAGATTAGTAAATCACATAAATACACCACATTACAGATCATGTGATCCATTCTGTCACTTAATAAAAGGAAATTCTTCTCATACCTGAAAGTAAAAAAAGGAGGACACAACTGCACTCAGCCAAAGGAATAATGATACGTGCAATAAGTAAGTCGAAGAAAGAATGAGCTTTAGCCCATCCAATATAGCCCAGAACTGAGGCTTTGCTACAGAAGCTGGAGATTTTGGGGAAGTTGTTCTCTGTGTGAGCCCTGGTATATTCTCGGCCTCTTCAGCTTGATCGGTATCAGCTTCCCTAAAAACAAAACGCTAAAGTTAGAGACTACAACAACAACAACATACCCGGTATAATGCCACAAAGGTTAGAGACAACTCGACTATAATATTCTTTTTGGGTGGGGTGGGGTGAGGAAGGGGATAGAGAAAGTAAGTCATGCAAGGACATTCATATAAAGTGCCTCTTTTTCATTGCTAGTATGTGTACTCGACTTCATTCTTCCTCTATATCAAAAGATGTATATCTAGAAAGTTAATAGTATCCAATAGTTTTATACTTCGCAGCGTGTGTCTTCTTTTTGTTTATACATTTATATTGATAACTGAGAAATCCCAGAAGGACAAAGGAGCACGATTTGAAACTCGGTGTATAATGGACCCGTCTCTATGTGAAATCTTCTTTTTAGTAACAAATCATCCTACTTTTTCACTTTTCAGCTATATATTAAATATACTATCGCCAAGCTAGAAGTCGCCCCTTGTCTCCACCTTTCATCCTCCTTCTATTTCCTTTTATAGATACGTAATACTTCATTCCTCACAATTTTAGTGGGGTATCTGACAGGATATGGAGTTTAAGAAAGCAAGACTTAACTTTTAAATCTTGTTTTCTGAAACAAGTCATAGACATTTGTGTGGTTATAAATCATCTCATTAACGGTAAAATGGGAAGCTTAAATTTAAATTATTTTTAGGGAAAAGGGGCAAAAATACCCTTATATGAGTTATACTATATGAAATGATCAAAAATGCCTGCCCCCAAGGCCTAGCTCAAGTGGCAAAACGTGGAGGATTTGTGGCTTAGGTCGCAGGTTCAAGCCCACATCATGCAAAGCAAAGCCTGGTATTTAAGTGGAGAAGGGTAGAGGGGCGGGCCCATTATCCACCGAGTTTAGAACGTTGTGATTGGTCCAAAGGGCGGGTCACAGATGGATTTCTCGGTTATCAAAAAAAAAAATGATCAAAAATGCCCTTTGTTTATACTTTGGTCCATTTATGCCTTTACTATTGGTGAAATGGGCCAAAAATTCCCTCAGGTGTAACAGAGGTAACGGAAAATAATTAAATTGTACTTAAACAATTTAATTAGTCTTAACAAAATTTGTTTCTTCCTCCCCTACTCTGTAATTTAGTCCTGAAATTTTCCGTTATAAATAATGGTCAGCCATCTCCATTTCTAACATCAAAACTTGAATAGCTAAACATCCAAAACTCAAAAAGATCATCCATCACCACAAGGAACTTATCACAAAAGGTTTAATCCCATTTCTCTTCCACGCCATGAAGAAACAGAAACCTCACCACAACAGTTTCCATTGCCTCTCCGGCACCTCTAACCGGAGCTATCACATGCTCATTCGAGCTGATTCCATCGAGGGCTCTTCTCACTGTAAAACTCAATCAGAGTTTCAGCCTCTGGTCACAGTTGATTTCCTGGATCTGCCTCAGCCGAGAAGCTTCAATAATAGATCATCTTCTCTGTTTTACCAGAACGCCTCCAAATTGACTGCTACCAACAATTCACAAGGGACTATTGCTGTCGATAATCTCCGTCATAGAATTTTTCTGATGCAACAGATTACGTTGAGAAAACTGCTACTACTGACTATATGTACTTTGTGTGTTCAACTTTTAGGTGATCTTCAAGTGTAAATGTGAAATATTTGTTTGGTTTGATTATTTTCTACTAGTAATACTGTTGTTCAAATTAATTAGTCTTAATTTAAGAAATCTAGAAGAGGGGACTAGGGTTTTGAAAGAGGAAGAAATAATTTTGTGAATAAAATGGAGTTGGGTTCATCGGATAAGGAGAAGAGGGTAAACAAATTAAGACTAATTAAATGGTTTAAGTATTTTCCGTTGCCTCCGTTATACTGAGGGAATTTTTGGCCCATTTCACTAACAGTAAGGGCATAAATGGACCAAAGTATAAACGAAGGGCATTTTTTATCATTTCATATAGTATAATGGCATTTTCGACCCTTTTCCCTTATTTTTTATAATATAAAAAGATGTCATTCTTTTGGAACAAACTAAAAAGGAAAGTGTGCGACATAAAATGGGATAGAGGGAGTGACAAGTAAGGCTAAACTCATTGACAGACACCTAAAGTTGGCACCATTTTTCATTTAGACACCTCAACTAAGACTTGTACCATTTAAACACCTATAGTAGGGTTGACTGTGTCTTGTGGTGGCTCCTAAAGTAAAGAAAGCCACTTTCCAATCAATTACGACTCCTCACTCAGATATTGATAGTGTCTGTGAAGTTCTTGGAGAAATGAAAATTTCTTGAAAAGCTTCGACCAATGTATCTTCCACATCTTAGATTCAATCCTATTTGAGAATCAAGCGTCAAAACATCTAGAAGGGTTCGCTTATAGTTATTCAAGTATAGATACCTCCCGCCCCTTTCTAAAATACTAAAACAAAAAACCTTTTTAAAAATTCTTTTGAATCTTACCTTTCTTATTATTCCACCTAGAGAAATCTAAATGGACTAATTGATTAGGACGACTAATTCCATAGGTATAGAAATATCATTATTTGATGGTTGATCTAAGTTCATGCAATTTATTAATAAAACTAAACAAAAAAATTATTCATTTTTATTATTTATTTATTATTAATATTTGGTCAATCGTTCAATAAAATCAACTGAAAGGGAAATCATTTCGCCCTTTTTTTAATTTAATTACACATCGTAAACCTATACGACAAGAATTATTGACAAAAATTCTTATATTCAAATTGTTTTAACAATGAATTAATAATTCTCTCTAATCTATCTAGTTCCTTCTTGTACAATCATCTGATGAAGTCTCATCAAATAGCTCTTCCACTTCCGGTGGTCACATGTCATTTCACGGTCCGTCGACTCACTCGTAGAAACTGAGGAGGCCACTATGTCTACTAGTCTGGTTCACGAGTGGGTTCACGGACCGGCATTCCATTTCATGGCCCGTGAACTATTTCAAAAAAATTGATTTTGTAATTTGTTTGTGTTTTCTATAGTTTTTTTTTAAACTGGTAAATGTGTATTCCTTAGCATTAAGGACATGTTGGACACCATCAAAAAGTGTTAGATAAATGTACTAACAACTATACCCCGCAGGTACCATAACTCCAAAATCTCAACCACGACGAGGGGGGAAGGCCTGAGAGATTGCTTCCCGCTTGCGAAATACTCCGGACTTGGAAGTAGAAGAACAACCACAGTTGAAGCCTTGCACCACGAGGTTGCAAGCACGGCAGCAACAAGCACCTCTCCCCAGCTGAAAAGGGAGGGTAAACCTGTACTTCGAGCAGCTTGGTGAGTCCGGGGGATGCTAGTTCCGGACGTATAGGGTCACCGAGCGACAGGGACGAGTCTATGGCCACAACCTCCTCTTCAGAAAAAAAGAGGCAACTTGAGATCAGAGGCGAGAATTCCCAATACAGAGAAGAGGAGTAACATCAAAAGGAGTGTGTTGGATGAGGTACATATCAGATCCTCTGATTTGGTAGAGATGCCCAAGTTTCAGGCTTTTTTTATCATTATGTATTGGGGTTGATGCGCGGTGCGCCAACCTCCAGGTGAGTACAACCCCATCTTGATCTGCGAATTCTACTCTGTATATACAACCACCCTTATTAGTACGCGGAAGAACAAGGAGTCTACCAAGGGCCAGCAACCACTGGACAGTGTGCGGGAGCGCTAAGTGTCGGTTAATATTTCAAAATGCACCGTCCAGCAGTCTATATTTGTGCCAGATGAGGTGCCGCTTAACACAGTGGAGTTCAGGTACAAGTTAGAGGGTCAAATGATTTAGATTGGCTGGCTAGCATCGGTGCTGACAAATAGAACGTTGGCCTAGTTGACTAAATGATAAGATCTTGATCACCAAGGGATCCCTCTTTGCGGTGAAGTTCTGGTGGGCGATTGTACGCCTACACTTGATTCCAACTACGGCCGACAATACACTCACTCTAGATCAGGCCGTGTCGCTTGCTAGCCTCATGTCGAGGTTTACTGAAAATTTAGCCCAAAATTATAGTGGAGGAGATCCAAGAGCTTGCACTGCGATTTGGGACCTAACTCCCATTCCCTTGATTGATCGCATAGTTGTACACTGTACAGAGAGACTCAGGTGCCTATATTGGTGGGTGTGGACCAGTCGGTGCAGGTGATTCATGTCCAAGACACTATTAAAAATTTGCGACGAGTCGAACCCTATTCCTAAGGGAAAGACAGCACCGTCCACTTCAAGGGATCTATTGTTGGAGGACTTTCCCGAAAAGAGTGAGCAGGTAGAGCTTTCGGCCATAGGGGAGACAATCGAGCCACCATCAGAGACAGATCCCACTACTGCTCCCAAAATAGTCCCCAGATATGTGCTTGCCCATAATTTCTACACTACTATCATCAGACGGTTGGATTAGGATCACATACTGTCCTGTCTCTAGTCAACCAAAGATCTGCAACTTAGCAAGTGGCTCTCAAGACTACGGTCCAATCGACGAACAGTCAATTGATTCCATGAACTGTGGAATGACTCGTGATCCTCTGCGAAGACCAGACCTAGAAGACAGAATCATGGTTGACTCCTGCTTTGACGGATCGTCAATTTGTTTGACGGTCCGTGAATTGGTGTCGCGGCCAAAGTTTTCCTATTTTGTTTAGGATAGGAGTGCCGTTTATAAATACTAGGTTCTCTTTTGGATGTTACTTAGTTTGTTGGATATGTTGTGTACATTAGAGTTGAGAAAGATCCATTAATCATTTTTCTTGATTCTCCGTGATTTTTTGCTACTATTTTGGCATTGTTTTATGGTTAATACAAGTTTGTTTCTTCTACTCATCTGTTACATGTTATTTATCATGAATTCTTCTAGGTCTTATGATTTGAATTTTGCAAGTATGAGTAGCTAAACTCCATAACTAGGGTTGTGGGAACCATGATGGATTAACGAATGTAGGTTAGAAAAACTAGTGATTCTTGAATGGTGAAACTGCATGTATTGTAATTCTCTTTGCATAATTACTTTGGACAGTATTAAGCATAGAATTCGCCATAAATCTTAACTTGCTTGAAAAAGAAGTCAAGGTTAGGAAAGAGATTAACAACGTAGACTTGAGGCTACTAACCTTCATCTAATGATTTAAGCTCTCACAAGGATAATCAATCTGAAACCATTAAGAAACTTGATACATAAACATTTGTAGGCCGAAAGGATATAAAGTGATATTCATCTAATTGGGTCAAAAGACTTTTGTTAAACTCTTATCGTTAGTTTTGCATGCATATCGCCGAGATAGATCACTAATCGCATCAACTTGTTAAGTTATGAAATCATCGGGAACATAGTCATAGCTCACTTTCATTATTTGAAGACAAGAAACTTTCACCAAAGTGGTTATTGATAACACAAGATACAAGCAGTTTAACTTTTCATATTGCAAAACCCCCCTTGAAATAAAGACTACCAGCCGGATAACCGTACCTGCCAAATTTCTCACCATATTCTCTGTGGGATTCGACCCCAACCTTGATTGGGTTCTATATTTGACAGCTACCGCTTTATATCTCATTTTAGAGGTGTAATTTGGGCATATCACTGTCCAGAGATGCCTTCAATATATAAAGTGTAGAGGAAGAACATGTCCAGACTGATTTACAATCATTCTTATGGTTTGTTCTTAAGGAGTTAAATAATGTCATCCTCTTTATACTCCTGGACTATCAAACTGTACAGATAAAGATATCAGGTTCATGGTAACCTGTGAGTACAATGCATATCTCTTTTTTCAGTTTGTTCATATAAAAAAGCATTTCCTGCTAAATCAAACACCTCTGTATCCCAAAAAAAGAAAATGAAGGGAGCTGAAATAGAGAGATCTATATCAAACTTACACCATGACTCAACTAGACTAGAAAAATTATGCTATCGTAGAGAGAACTTTCACTAATAAAGAAGATCACCATCCAGAGAAAGATGAGACAGCAATGCAACAGAAAACCAGGAATAACAGGGTAAGAAACCTGAGACAACCATCCTAAGGCTAATAGGGAGAGAAAGAACAGTAATTGCTTGCATGGAAAGAGCTATCGAGGGAGCTTAGCGAGCTGATTGTACAATTAGATATCTCTTTTCCTAATCTCATCTACTGGAAAATTCTATTGCTAAAAAATCTAGTGATAATCCCTGATCGGGGTAGAACAAGAACAACAAGAAGAAAACCTGATGGGAGATAGTTCTTCAGGAAGTTGTAAGACGTCTTTCTTGATTCCTTTTGATGACTGTGCAGCAAGTTCCATGAGAACCGCTGAAACAAGAAGTAAATCTGCAAAAAAAACAAAAGGGAACTACTAAGAAAATAGAAAACAACAAAGCCTCAAGAGAATAATAAGAATAAGGAAGCAAGATAACATAAAGAGATACACACACGGTCCTAACCAAGCCATTCCTGTGGCAAATAACGAACCACACAGCTGGCCTAGTGTAGCACCAGCACCAATAAACCCAAACAATCTTGAACCTGACTGTATACAGGAAAAAAAGTTAAACTGTATCTCAAATTGCTACCGTGAAGTGTAAAAGCAATATCATGATCTATTATGGTCATGGAAGGTATATATTAAAACCCTTGAACTTCCCTTCTGTAGGTCCGTTCAAATTAACGAATCAATTAGAGGCACAGTTACCTCACTATCCATCACATCAATAACTCTAGCCCAAGTTGAAGATATAGTAATAAGATTAAGCAAAGCAACCTGAGAAACAATGAAGCAAGAATCTTATTCAGGAAACAAACACCAAAGAATGACAAAAAACTTACTATTGTAATAGTTGAGAATTAAAGCAAAAGCATTTACCCAAAGAAACAGGCCAATTCTCACTGACACGTAGAACCACCCATGGTTGCTCCAACTGGACGAGTTTGGAGTACTCATGTGACTCACCTCCATTTTTAACTCCTGTTTTAAAGTTGAGGACACAGAGAGCAGTCCCTGCATTATTGCCATTTTTAAATCATAACAGTTGCATCGTCAAAAGGGTTGCTGCCAAAATCATGAAGTTGTACCTTGATATTAAATGGTGAACTCCCAGGAGTAGAAAAAAGCCACAGGATGTAGAACGCAACAAGTGTGACCCCAAAAAACCTGTGTATCAAGACCAAAGCCTGGAATTTAAAGAAGGGACCATTACAGATGACATTTAAAAAGACCCAAAACAAACCTAAATCAGCTTCTAACACTCCAAATTGGTCTCACCACACAAGAAAGCAGTAAGTAGCTGAACCTAATTCATAGCATTCAACAACAAAAAGAGTGTCTATAAGTAGCTGAACCTAATTAATAGCATTAGACAACAAAAAGAGTATCTATAATTTGATATCCTTATGTTGTAGAGTATCAAGATTTGCAATTTCTTTCTGCTCATCAATCATTATTAACATAGCCAGATAATTTGGAGTCGTAGAGAAATTCAATGTTACTCTCAAATGACACCAACTAGGCCAAAAATCATCATTTATCAAATACATCAGTAAAACAACAATTTCACAGGTTTAATACAACACTCTATTGCGGTCAAACAGAAACCATCAAAAGACAACTACTTCATGCTTAATACTGATACGGAGGCATGGATGAGTTATTCCAAATGCAAATGGGGAATAGATACAGGCTTTGTTAAAAACCTAAACTTGTGCAGAACTAGTAGAACTCCAACAGGGTCTAAAACTAGCACTTAATGGAAATTAATTCCACTGGAAGTATCAAATATAGTCTCAAAAGAAGTGTTAAACTTGGTTTCATCAATTTTTAACATATTATTTCATATGAACTTCTTTTTATCTATGATTCTCCTCCTCTACTTGTGTAAAGAGACAATAAATATAATAGAGCAATGAAAGAAGGAATTAGCGAGTTACCTTTGACTTGGAAAGATTAGGCAATGAAAAGATTAAGGTGGAAAGAGGGGCAGCAAAGAGTGTGAGTATCAAGGATCCCACAAACAAGCTGGGGAGATTCCCCAATCCCAAAGATATAGCCCCTTCATCACGTAAAGGAAGAACCACAAAGTATGCGCTCAAAATCTGCATATATCATTAAATTCATTAAGAACAAGAAAAACGCCAAGAAGATGTTTATGATGGGGCAATTGAATCGATACTTACAAAGAAAAAAGTGGAGGAAGAGTAAAGCAATGCGGAGAGCTCGTGAGGAAGAAAAGTAACGAAAATGGAAACAAATGCCTCAATTCGATCTCTGCCCACCAAAATCATCTCATCTCATGCTCGATCAACGAATACAAATACACACAAATCTCACAAAGCTCTCACTGTCAAGATCTGCTTATTGCGAATCTTTGAATGGCTAATTGGGTTTGTCAAATTCATATGAGCTAAGCTTAATCTTCTGTTCTTCCCCTCACCCAAATAGCCCGAATTCGTCAACTTTCGAGTGCAAGTCAACTATAACACCTTGTTTGGATGGTTGTTATCATTCTGTATTACTCCCTCCGTTTCATTTTATATGTCACTTTTTTACTTTGCACTTGTATTAAAAAATAATGTAACTTTATACTTCTATCCTTATTTAATGTTTTCTTAAGTCAACTTTATTAATAAATGACAAGATTAATTAACTCTTCTATCAAGGGTATAAATAGGCAAAATATGGTAATTTATGCATAAATTTTATAAAATGACAAGTATTGTGGTCCAGCTATTTATAGAAAGGAATGACATATAAAATGGGACGGAGGGAGTATATTATACTAGTAAAATTATGTGCGGAAATTTAATATCACGAAATTTATAAAACAATACTTAAAACCTATCAATCATTAAAACTAAAACACTATATTATCTTACGTACAAGATTACGTAGTAATGAACATTAATAATGTAAAGAAAAATGAAAATTATAACATCTTATCATTTATCCTTAATAACATAAGCATAAATTAATGACTATAAAAAACATATCAGAATCTATAACAATAGAATGAAACAGAAAGGAAAAAATCGAGCCCACTGAACACGCAATGTCCCCTTATGAAAATTATTCCCCTCTAGTACCTGATGTTTAAAGGAATAGATTCTATCATGATAGAACGACTCTATTCACCAATGTATTGATACAAAAACAATAGTGTCAGTGAGTCACTCAACATGAGCAAAGTACACGAATATTTAATAGTGTAGAAGATGATTGTAGTTCAGAATTTTCGTTGTTTTAAAATGAGAGGAAATCCCTTCATTTATAGACAACAAAGGGTTATGTGAACAAATGTTTATTATGCCTTATCGGAAAGGTCACAACTATTTGAAAAAGTTGTAACCCTTCGGAAGGGTCACAACCTTTCATAAAAGTCACAATTTTTCATAAAAATCACAACTTTTCATAAAAGTCTCAATTGTTCATAAAAATCACAATTTTTCATGAAAGTCACAACTTTACATATAAGTCACAACTTTTCATGAAAGGAAAGACTAATTTTGGAAATAAACAAATTAAAAGGAAATCTAGGTTTGTGGTGGATTGTACTGTATTGTATTGTTATTGTATTGTATTGTTACTTAAATTATATTTATATAGTCGGTGTAATTAAGTCGTTACCTTAATATTTTCTTCTTATTTTGTTTTTACTTATTAATTTAATTATTTTATTTTATCATTTACCGTACATAGTAGATCAATTCTCATACACTATAATCTCTTGTAAGTTTATCATTTAAATTATAAATATATGACATTATGTAACAATGAAAAATGATGCAATGTATCGACTTTGTGATATGTTTTAGTATATATAGTTGTGGTCTGTATATATATTAAGGATCGTGATCGTTTTGTTTGCTACAGTTATAGGAACTATTAAGAATTCAGATTACATAAGAATGAGAATTACTGGGAGTTCAGTTTGAACACATATATGGAAATTATTGAGAGTCTTGATTATGAAATTGATTTAGAGACTATTGAATTTGTGGGATCATGTTGATACGTGTGTAGAATTAAATTTATCGTTTATGAGTCAATAATTTGATATATCCCTACTATATGTATGCTAATATTGATTGAGATTATCGTTGTGGGTATCAGAATATGAGATTGATATTGTAATATGAGGCTCTTGGTGGAGTATTGTACTCAATAAAGTTTGTATCTTCATTTTAGATCATAACTAACATAAGCATTGTGATTATTATGTGAGTTGCTGATGCATATTCCTTGAGGTTTGTAAGTAAAAGTAAGGTCTCATTTGTTTTTATTGTTTGAATCTAAATACATATCTTAATTTATCTCTAGATCTAAACACTAAAAAACTAAGAGATTTGTTATTCAACATCTAAATATACATAATTTACTTATATGTATATAATAAATATATAGTTCAAATAAAAATTAATCAAATATTTTAAAATGTATTAATAAAATAAAATTATTATTTGATATAAAATAATAATTATGTTTTCTAGTGATAGTGGAGATAATTTATCCTGGTGGTGGTGATAGTAATAGTTGTTATTAGTGGTTAGTGATGACGGTGGTGATAGTTATGACAGTGGAGGTAGTTGGTGTTGTGGTGGCGATTGATAATGATGTTGGTGATCGTAATGGTGAAGTTCATTGATATCAGTAGTTGACTGAAGAATGTGTGGTGGTTGATGATGTATTTGTGGTAGTTGGTGGTGTTGATGAAGGTTGCCGAAGAATGTGTGGTGGTTGATGATGTGTTTATGGTAGTTGGCGGTGGTGCTAGTTATGATGATGGAAGTGGCTTGGTAGCATAGATTAACCACAATGGTGGTAATGGCTGATAGTAGTGGTGGAGGTGACGACAATGATTAAGGTGATCAAAGAATGTACAGTAGTAGTTGACGATGGTGCTAGTTGTGATGCCTGAGTTTGTTGGTAGCAGAAAAGGACTGCAGTGGTGGTAGTGGTTGATAGTAATAGTGGAAGTAGTGATGGTTATAGAGATGATGGTGATTGTGGTAGTAGTATAATTACAATGATGGAGGAGGTAAGTAAGTGTGGTAGCAACTGCCAATAGTGGCGGTTATGATGGCAGAGGTGGTTGGTGGTAGACGACGATATTGGTGGTTGATGATGGTAATAGTGGTGGTGGCTGTGATAGCAAGGGTGGTTAGTGATAGTTGTTAGTGATTGTGGATAGAGCGATGGTGAATATTATCCACAAGGGAATACCTCGAAATAATATTAAGATTGTGTTCTACATCTTAATATTAATACCCAATTAAGTGCTTAAATCATTATGAAAATAATTGCACTTAATGGTCTAATGTCTAAACCATTCAGATTCAGACCACTATTAATTGCAAACAAATGAGGCCTAAATTTGTTGAGGTTTCTAAACTACTATGCGCACATTTTTCCTTTTGATTATATTGCACAAATTAATGAAATTAGTTGGTTTTGTTTAAAGTTCATCATTACTTTATTAGGGACGGTCAATGATATTTATTGAGCATTCATTGTCCTTTTATTTTCTGAGCTATGTACGACCTAATTTGAGTACAATGCGGTTCGGGATGATGCTTAGAGGTTGTTCTGAGCTATGTATTTAGGTTCTATCCCTTCATTGTTCATCATTTTATAATAATATTGTGTATTTCAAATAGTTATGTATTTTCTTAGACAATTATTCTTTATCTTTAGTCTCTCATCACTTGTGATACTGATTTTGAATTGTTGTGTAGATTTCTATTATATTTGTGATATTTTTATTGAAGTTATTGTCTTGTTAAAGTTTCTTAATTCTTATTAGATTTATATCATATAATAGTATTGTGTTGTAGTTTGTCTTGCTTGAAAACAGTCAAGTGCCATCAAAATTTATTTAAATTGAATTGTGATCAAATATAAATAAATAAAAGATTGAAAAACAACTTTAAAAAATATTTGCCTTCTTATCAAACATACATACATATTTATTACCTTTTGATTTATTTCAAAATTTGGGGGAAAAATGAGTTTGTGCTTAAAGTATTAATTATATCTATTTGACTCTTAAAATATGAAATTCAATGTCGAATTAATCAATAGTTTTCACCTTTGGACAAGTGAACACAAGAATGATAAATATAGTAATTGATTATTTGTAACTTAATATGAAAAAAAGATTTGTTTTAAGTATATGTTGGAATAAAATATTATCTTGGTTTTCTTTCTTTTTTTTGGTAGTAAGACGACTTATTTATTTATATAAAATGAGTCAGTACATCAAAGTCCGCTACATTACTGCTAACACTAAGTAAGGATTCTGGTCCAGTAGGAATAGCACTTCGTAAATTACAAAAAGACTTAATACACCTAACAACTGAAGTTCCTTCCTTGTCTACCTGTAGTGCTTCCAGAACAAACGTAGGGGGAACTGTCCATTCCTCAAAGAGCTTATCATCTATCAACATCTGGCCACTACGCGCTAGTAAATCAGCCACCCTATTTTGTTCTCTGAAGTCATGTTTGATTTTTGGCTCCCCCAGTTGATGGAGCAACTCCATGCATTCAAGAAGGATATTAGAAAAAGTGTCATTGCCAAATTCAGCATACTTATTACCTCTGTTGAATCAGTGAAGATCTCTATTTCCTGAATGTTCAATCTTCTTGCTAACTGGAGACCATGTAGCAAGGATAGAATTTATGCACCCGTAGCAAAGAAAATATTTATTTTGGAGTTGCTTCCTCTTATCCAATTTCCATTAGTATCACGAACAACACATCCTGTACCCCCACCCTTAGTACTATTGAAAGAGCCATCTATGTTAATTTTAAAGGCAATTTTGGGAGGAGTCCGACGAATAGCTTCAGGGCTAGTGTGAGCTTGTCGTGCACTAGGTTCTTTAATCGCTAGATGGATAAATTCAAGGGTCCTGGTGATTGCTAATGATATCGGAATGTCAAGATTAACTTTGTTATGATAATTATGATTTCTACTAAGCCAAATATTCCACATAAGAAATGGAAAGACTTGTTTCCAATTGATAGACTTAATCTTAGTATTTATTTTTCGAAGACTATCTAGCCAATTTGGATTATTAGATTCTTCTATGTCTGTAATAATGTTCTTTACTCTATTATTATCCCAATATTTTTGGACGATGGGGCACTCAATAAAAATATGTCTCACAGTTTTAGGATTGTTGCAGATTGAACAGGAAGGATTCATGTTTATAATGACATGTTGGCAGTCTATTTTGGTTGCAAAGCCAGAGAAAAAACTTAATTTTATTGGGGCAACTAAGTTTCCAGATCCAATTGAAGTCCTTACTATGAGTAGGAGCTTCAGAGGATTTATCTTTTATGAACTTGTAGGCTGAACTAGTAGTGAATAAACCATTATTGGTAAGTGACCAAACAAGTTTGTCTTCCGAATTCACGTGGTGGGGCACATATATTGATCTGATTTTAGTAACAATATCATGTGAGAGATCGAAAGACAACCTATGGAAGGACCAGGTTCCTGATTGGATGAAATCACAAATCTTTAGGTTGGACTCGTTTCTATTTAAAGGACCCATAATTTGGGAGTTGAGAGGGATAGAGTTTGGGATCCACTTATCTTGCCAGAAATTGATCTTATTGCCTCGGCCCAGTTCCCATCGACTCCAGTCTATGCATGTCTTCCAACCATGGATGATGTTTTTCCATGTAGAGCTGGTAGTCTTTAGATGCTTATTACTAGTTTGGAGGTTTGTATTTCTAGTGTATTTATTGGTGAGGAGAGTGGCCCAAATGGATTTAGGTTTTTTGTAAAGTCTCCATGCTAGTTTTGTGAGCATTACATCATTTCTAGCACTACAATTTTGTACTCCCAAACCCCCGGATTTCTTGACCTTAGTTACTACATCCCAACTTAGCATGTGAAGTTTCCTTTTAACGTCACATCAGGAGTACCCCAAATAAAATTATGTTGTACTCTATCGACTTGCTTTGTAATGGTACTAGGTAATTTGATATACTGCATAACATGGGTAGTCATATGACTAAGAGAAGATTTAACAAGGGTCGTTCGCCCCGCTATATTTAGAAACTTTGTTTTCCAACTTGCCAATTTGGATTGGAGGTTGTCGATTATAAATTGAAAGTCTCGTTTTTGCGGTCTTTTATTGAACATGGGGAAGCCTAAATATTTCCCAAAGATATGCTTGCTTTGATCTTCATGGAGGAGGAGATCTCATCTTTAAACTCTTTGGAACAATTATTAGAGAAGAGGATTTTATATTTTTGGTTATTGATCCTCTGACCTGACCAAGAGCAAAAATTATCAAGGATTTTAATAATGCTATTGCTACTTTTTTTGGTTGCCTGGGACATAAGTACTTAGATCGTCTGCGAAGAAAAGATGTGAAAGGTTTGGGCAGTAGGTGGAGATTTTAATGGGGATCCATATTTTCAAATTAACCGCTTGATTGATTTGGTGAGAGAGTACTTCCATACATAGAATAAACATATAGGGGGACATAGGGTCACCTTGTCTTAAGCCCCTAGAAGGAAAGAAAAAATTCGTACGTGTACCATTAATCAAAATAGCAGTTCTATTGGTACAAATACATGACATGATAAGATTGATTATATTCCTAGGGAAGTTGAAGTAGTGAAGTGTTTGTCTTACAAAAGACCATTCTATTTTGTCAAAAGCATTTTCAAGGTCTATTTTAGCAATGAAGTTCCTAGTTTTTCCCTTCATTTTTCTAAAGTGGCTAATGATCTCTTGGACAATAATGGCATTGTCAATAGCCTGTCAATTTTTAAGAAAACTTGATTGACAAGGCCCAATCAACTTATCCATCATTGGTCTGAGTCTTCTAGATATAATCTTAGTGATAATCTTATAAGTCGTGTTGCACAGACTAATGGGACGAAAGTTTTTTAGCGAGGTTGTATTTTTACACTTAGGAATCAAACAAACATGAGTCATGTTGATATCCTCGAGAATGCATTCTTTTTTAAAAACATTCTTACAAAATGAGATTACAAATTCTCCAACTATGTGCCAATACTTTCGAAAGAAAAAAGGGTGCAATCCATCTGGACCTGGAGCTTTAAAGGGATGGAAGGAGTTGATAACATTCTTGATTTCCCCATCAGCAGGCTCAAAGCCTAAAAGGGCGCTATCTTCTGTAGATAAGGTGATAGATCCATGGATAATGGGGTAGTTATAGGTTTGGGAGTTACATGTCCTGAATAAATTATTATAATATGAGGTAATATGTTGCAGCATCAAATGTTGCTCATAGATCCAAGTGTTATCCTCCAATTTAAGGGAGAGGATTTTGTTCCTTCTACGACGATTTAGAGTGGTAGTATGGAAAAATTTGGTATTAGCATCCCCTTCATTATCATTATATTCTTTGATGAGATCTTGTTCAAGTCTAGAAGGAAATAACTATTCTGATAGTTTTTAGAATTGTGGATACCTTGCAGTCTTTTTATAATATTTTTCTTATAGAAAATGTTACCAAAAGTATTCTTATTCCAAGTGGTAACGTCTCGCTCAAATTGTTAGATAGCATCAAGGAGGTTGTGAGAATTTTTCCAAGTATTATCACTAATATTAGGGAGTTCTGGATGGGAGGACCATATTGTTTCGAATCTAAATATACGTTTTTTATTAGTAACTATATCTTTAAGGAGAGTTAGGAGTAATGGGCAATGGTCGGAGTGGGTTTTGGGTAGATGGAGCACTTGAGTGTCTGGAAAGCTCATTAGCCAATCATAGTTGGCTAGTGAGGCATGGAGGAAGGCGATTGAATATTGATGATTGTATGGTATCCGTATTGTATGTATGGTTTTATAGTGTTTAATTAACATAAATATTATGAAGGCTAAACTTATATACAGTCCCTTAAACCCCCATTTAGACACTTGAACTCAGCCTTCTTTCAAATATAAACACAATACTATATACAATTTGGTTACTCAAAATACATCTGAAACACAGGTTGTGATTAATTGATTAAATGCTGAAGGAAACTGAGGTACCTTATTAAAGCCACTCCAATTATTGGTTGGTCAACTACTCAAGTAAAGAACTTGTGCCAACTCCAGCTCAAACAAGGTTCTATAGATTCGATAGGTTGTCACAAAAAAAAACATAATTTATATTGATACGAGTACATAAATAACATTCTTGATTTCCCCATCCGAAGGCTCGGAGCCTAAAGGGGCGCTATCTTAAGGTGATAGATCCATGTATAATGGGGTAGTCATAGGTTTGGGAGTTACATGTCCTAAATAAATTATTATAATATGAGGTAATATGTTGCTCATAGATCCAAGTGTTATCCTCCAATTTAAGGGAGAGAATTGTGTTCCTTCTACAATGATTTAGAGTGGTAGTATGGAAAAATTGGTATTAGCATCCCCTTCATTAAGCCAATTTATTCTAGATTTAAGTTTCCAGAACTCCTCTTCTCTTTTTAGAATATCATTATATTCTTTGATGAGATCTTGTTCAAGGTCCAAAAAGAAATAACTATTCGGATAGTTTTTAGAATTGTGGATACCTTGCAATCTTTTTATAATATTATTTTTCTTATAGAAAATGTTACCAAAAGTATTCTTATTCCAAGTGGTAACGTCTCGCTCAAATTGTGAGATAGCATCAAGGAGGTTGTGAGCATTTTTCCAAGTATTATCAATAATATTTAGGGAGTTTTGGATGGGAGGACCATATTGTTTCGAATCTAAAGATACTTTTTTTATCAGTAACTATATCTTTAAGGAGAGATAGGAGTAATGGGCAATGGTCGGAGTGGGTTCTGGGTAGATGGAGCACTTGAGTGTCTGAAAAGCTCTTTAGCCAATCATAGTTGGCTAATTAACATAAATATGTTATTATAGTTGGCTAGTGAGGCATGGAGACAGGCAATTGAATATTGATGATTGTATGGTATCCGTATTGTATGTATGGTTTTATAGTGTTTAATTAACATAAATATTATGAAGGCTAAACTTATATACAGTCCCTTAAACCCCCATTTAGACACTTGAACTCTGCCTTCTTCCAAATATAAACACAATACTATATACAATTTGGTTACTCAAAATACATCTGAAACACAGGTTGTGATTAATTGATTAAATGCTGGAGGAAACTGAGGTACCCTATTAAAAGCCACTCCAATTATTGGTTGGTTAACTACTCAAGTAAAGAACTTGTGCCAACTCCAGCTCAAACAAGGTTCTATAGATTCGATAGGTTGTCACAAAAAAAAAAAACAGAATTTATATTGATACGTGTACATAATATTGGAGAAATGCTAAGCAGAACAGTCCACTCTACCAGCAAAACTGGAAGGATTAGGCACATCATCTTTTATACAAAGTGAAGAAACTGCTTTACAAACTGCCCTATAATCTCTCCTTTCGGAGGCGCTCTAATTCTTTGGCCATTTGCCAATGTTCTAAGGTTAAAGTGGTTTCACCAAAACTTAGAGATACAAGACGACCCATTGTCAGAAACCTGCAAAACAAAAACACTGGCTTCAATACAACCACTGTCATGACATGAATACCAAATGAAGTCCAACTAATACTGCAACTAACCTGCTGAAATCTAGGCTACCTAAGCTTCTATCTGCCTGCCTTGCCGCTACTAAGTCATCTTCTACCACCTGTGATATGGCAACCAATAATTAGTCAAAACAACTTTGGAAGATTTACAATCACCACTTTGGATCACAAACAATAAGCATAAGAGTTTCAAGGGGACTTTTTACCAAGGAGAGTGGTTGTTGATAATCATTTATCATAAGCAGGGTAACACTAAGTGTTTAAATGGAAAAGTGTTCATACAAATCTAAGATGGCCATTTTATCGTAACCCCACATTGAGAGTTTCCAGATAATGTTTAAACTCTTCTTCTGAGATGTCAATCATAAACTCTTACCTTCTGCATCTCTTGCGTAATAGAGTGAGACAACGATCTCATAGTAGCCAGGTACCATCTCCAAGATTGCAGAACTTCTATCTCAACATCTTGAGCAGCATCTACTGACAATGGTCGAAATGGTAAAACCAAATCTGCTGGGAGTATGTTGGATTTCCCCTCAGAAAGAACTAGCAACTGAATGTCCGCAGGCATGTCCATTTTATAATAAGTGAAGTCATATTCAACCTAACAAAAAAAAGAAGAGAAGAAAAACTGGCTATAAGATGGACTCATAGTTATGAAAACTATGTATAAACTCCACCTGCATGTATAATCTTAACCTGATAATATGATCATACTATATTATTATCTCACTTTAGCATATACTACTGTCTTCCAATACCAGACACAAGAGAAAGGATATTTGCAAGTTTATCAATCCATTATTACCTTTTGATGTTCCAACAAGCTTTGCAGGACTCTTGCATTCTCAAGCCCAATAGGATTAAGTCTCCCTTCTTGTAATTGAGTCTCGTCAATAGTTAAATGAGAACCTTCAGCAAGTTGCAGTATCCCTGATGCCAGCCTGAAGCATTCACCACAAAGTTACACGAATGACCAATGACATGTCAACTGAACATACAAATCAGTAAATCTGGTTAATCATATAGAACTGCTGTACCTATTAGTTTGATAATTTTTTTTGGGGGCAAGAGGAATTTTGTTAAGGTAATCCACTGTTAAAGGCACACAATGTGTGAACGGTAGAAGGTTCTTGAGTGCAAGATTAAGACGAAGACCATAAACAGACAGGGTCTCCTTGTTAAAACATGTTAGGTTCAAGGAAAGCTTTCCAACGGCAGTTGAATCCACTCTAGCATGCACCTGAAAGAAATGGAGAATATACTTGATATTAATATCGTACATATTTAAAGTCTTTAATCTATCCAGCTACAGGTAAGAAAAATGAGTCATTTTCATGCCTTAGACAACAGATGCAATAACATGAGATTAGCTGCTACACCATCATTTCCTAGGATAGTCGTGAGATGCCTTAATAGAGTTTCCCTTATTTCTTTCACCAGGTGGGATTTAAGCTGCAACAATCATAACAAGAACGAGGACCATTAATCACAAGAAAAAGAGAAGTAATTAGTCTACAGTGCAAGAATAATTTATGCTGACAAACCCCACACCTGCATTATTTCCTGCATACTGCCAACAAAAACCCTCCTACCCTACACCCTCCAACCCCCCAAAAAAGACTCAACAAGAACATATCCAGTGAAATCCCACAAGTGGAATCGAGGAAGGGCAGTGTGTACGCAGACCATACCCCTAACTCATGGAAGTAAGGAGACTTACCAGAAGACCCTCGGCCCGAGTATAACATATCCAAATAATGAAAAAAGGAAAGCGACGGAGGAGAAACAAACAACTAATAAAGAAACAGTAACAATACAAAATAATGCAATAGCCTAAACACAATCAACAACAAGTGATGGTGGAATCAAAAGCAAGACACTAAAAGAAAATGGCTAAACCCCTCCAAAAAACAAGACAACACTCGATACCTACTAACCTTCTACCCTAATAAGCAACCTCCATACTAGGTAAAAATAACAAGAGCTTGCAATCCCACTACTTACCTCAAGTGTGGGAGAACCTGAAATAAAGTCTTGATTGGAAAGCTTCTTGTGAATAAGGCAATGGAGTCGAGGTACCTGAATCAGAGAAGCCTCTTAAAGTGCATTTATAACCACAGTGATGGAAACTGGCAGCAGGAATACATTCGCATTAAAGTATTCAAACCAAAGAAAGAATAAAAGGAAATAACAACAGGAAGACCAGTCTGGGAACAAAACACTAATAAAGTTAAACCAAATATGGTGTACTCGGAGACTTGATTGTTTTTATACCACTGGCCTCTCCACATAATCATTCTGCACAGTTGATTTTTTATTTTTTTTTTATAACCGAGAAATCCGTCTGTGACCTGCCCTTTGGACCAATCACAGCCTTCTAAACTTGGTGGATAATGGGCCCGCCCCTCTACCCTTCTCCACTTAAATACCGGGCTTCGCTTTGTATGGTGTGGGGCTTGAACTTGCGACCTAAGTCACAAATCCTCCACATTCTGCACAGTTGATTTAGCTCCTACTAGATGTCAATTTCTTCTTGGTTTTAGCTTAAGCTTCTGCACAGTTGATTTAGCTCCCTACCAGATGTCAATTTATTCTTGGTTTTATAGCTTAAGCTTCTGCACAGTTGATTTAGCTCCCTACCAGATGTCAATTTATTCTTGGTTTTAACTTAAGCACTGTAGCCATCAAATGATTTAATAGATAATATCAGGAGCAATTGCAATGGCTTCCATTGCACAGAAAAATACAGTACCCTGATCTATGCCCTTGTATGTGCTATATAGAATGTAGTGAATTCTTAACTGTGATGTTCCCTTTTAATTTGATCCGGAAAACAGAATGACATACTAATATTCCATAATCAAGTATCAAAGCCAGTGGTGACAGATAATGATAATTGGTCTACAATTCTGACACCCTAAATCTCAGTCCATATAATTAAAGAAGGTCTCAACTAATAAAATACATTACAAGAAAAATACCTTGGTTGGAGGCATCTGAGTCTGTGTATCATCATCACCCAAATAGCCCAAAATATCATTGTCAACATTTTTGTCTACCGAAAACTCCGGATCAAATGTTAAGACACCAATGAACTCAAAAACATCATTTAGCTTCAAATCAGATTCAGGAGAGTCGTATATCTGTAAGATTACAAATGTAACGGTAAAATTTTAGCAGATAAGGTGCACACGCAAACTTCAGCATAAACTAGCAACTCAAGATTTACCTTCACAAGACATGGCAAAGAATTTCTGTCAAAATATGGAAGCACACTCGTAGCTGAACCAATGTCAGCAGTTGGAGTGTCCCCTAGATTGGATGAATTGGAAGTGATCCCATCCTCACGCTGTTGTGTTAACAAAAAATCAAGAAGCTTAATCAGATGTTGATGGATAACAATGTGACGAATAGACAAAAAATGCAACCACTGAGAGCAACCAACGAGACCAGAAGTTTACATCCACAATTTTCAAGTCAAGTACAGCTAGTGATTGGTAGTTGAATAAAGTAAGAGAGAAGTAACAATGAACTCAGTGTGACATACCATCTTTTTATTGGAGGTGGAAGCTTGAACCTCCTCATTTGTCACCTATCAATAAACAAATCATTAAAACGCCTTATGTGCATATGCCCATTAGTCAACTAGTTGATTATACTAGCAAAAGTTTTAACTTCGGTACATCCAGACAAACAAATGGAACATACTTGCATATCAATGTCATCCATTGCTGTATCATCCTCCCTATGGCGTTTCTCCCTTTGTGGAGATGAGGAAATTGAAATTGGATTGAGCAGGGATTCAGAGGAATATTCAATCCATGAATTCTGCCCTGGAACCTAAAGCAACACCAGAAAATCAATTATTTAATTGTGTTTCTCAAGAATCAAAACAGAAGTAAACAGGATTTCTTTTTTGATAAGGTACAACAGGATACTAAGAAACATACTGTCTAGCAAAAGAATTACAGTATTAAATCTTCTTCCATAATCCAAAAGATAAAATAGGATTTTCATCATCTAGCCAACAACCATTCCACCATAAATGTAGATTTTGAAGACATGTTCTTCACAAAAGAAAAGGAGTATGTCTAGTGGATAAACAAGAAAGTAACAAGGCTTTCAAGACTCACAGGAACACAGTAAAGTAATCGCCGCTCCCACACTCGCATGTCAGGTGAAGATCCCGTAGCCATAGGGAATTGAAAGAAGTCACCAAACTTATTCGTTCTCCAAGTTTCTCCATCCTAATTAGAGCATTAAAAAAATAATTAGTAACGAAGACATAGGTACTCTGTAAGTGAGAAAGCAGGCACAAAAATGATATTATACCTTGTACATGCCAACATATAATTCATTTCCCAGCATATCTTGTATCATTCCCCGAAATCGAACAAGAGTATTGGATTTCAGCCGTGCAATAGATGAAGGATTCAGAACTGGAACCTATAAAAACAAGATACTACTACTAATCAGCTACCCTTCTAAAAAAATAATAGAACCGAGTGGAATTTCAAGACAAAACCTGAGAAAGGCCGCCATCGTCATAGAGAAACTTCCTGAATAGATCAATGGCACCCCAGTCCTTGCCGTCGAACGCGGCTGTATCAGAGACTTTACTTAGCGCATTTTCAAATGTCGATCGGACAGCTCCCTGTGGATTTAGTAGGCAATCGTAAGCGACTCCCACCATGGTTGATTGTGTTCGCCGGAGAAAAGGAAAGTAGAGAGTGAGTTAGGGTTGAAGGAGAAATGGCAGTTGCTGGTTAAGCTATAACTGATCTAAAGTAGGTGCCATTTCCCGCCAATTTGGCCGGTTGGGTTTAAGTCCAGTTATAAATTTCGGGCCCCAATTTTGGATTGGGCTCTATAGGACCATTCTGCACTCCGGGCGAACCTAACATATATTTCTGATGATAATCATTTAATTTATGAGGAATTGACACGTAAAAACTACTTCATAATGACCTATTTTTCTTTTTAGTTTGTTTAAGAAAAAATATATTTTTTCTTTTTTTTGTAAAATTTTAATTTAACTTTTCATATGACATGTTCCCGTCCATAAGATTCAAGGACGATTTAAGGATATTTTTGTACATTTAACATAATTTTAATTTAGAACCACAAAATTGAATTTTTTTCTTTATTTTCTTAAATTTCGTATCAAGTTAAACTATGTCATTCCTTTTTAAACAAAGTAGTCTCATTCTTAGATTAAATTGATAGTAGCTAGGGGTGTACAAAATCGAATCGAAAACCGAACCAAACCACAAACCAAAAAAAAAAACCGACTAGTGGTTTAGTTTGACTTGGTTTGGTATTGAAAAAACAACCCGACTATATTTGGGTTGGTTTCGTTTTAACTAAAAAAAACCAACCCGAGACCAAACCAACCCGACATAATATATAAAAATTTAAAATTTTATTTTATACATAAAAATATTTACTTTGATATAAGTTTTAAATATTTCTTATACTTTTTCATAGTTTTTATCTTTTAATATATTATTTAAAGTTTGAAACTTAGAATTTTGAATGGTCCAATAAAAATTATAGTCCACAGATGTTGGTAATTATAATAAAACTTAAATCAAAATCAATTAATACTAATACAAAAAAAAAATCAATTCAACACTAAGAATGACAATAATATTGAATATTTGTTCTTTAGTTTTACATTGGTTTAAACAATTAATATACATAATCTATTTTTAATTTCCTTTAATATTTAGTGTAACGAATACTTATTAAACTTATTTTAGCATTATTTAGTACTTTTAAATTATGATCATTTTCAGTATGGCTTGCTAATTTGCAATATTTGTTTTATACACAATTTCATTATTATTATTTTGTTGGATATTTTTGTGTCATTAATCATATCATCTTTTGTGTTATTTTCTTAAGAAACACCTTAGATAGTTGTATTTTGGTAGGATTAAAGAAATATTTGAAGTACAAGTAAATTATATGTTTGTATGAATACTTTACCGAAAAAATTCGAAAATTCGAAAAATCTGAAAAAATCCGAAAAAAACCCAAGGTTGAAAAACCCGAAATTTATTGGTTTGGTTTGGTTTATAAATTTAAAAATCTAACACAAATGGTTTGATTTGATATTTGAAAAACCCGAACCAACCCGACCATGTACACCCCTAATAGTAGCCATTGGGTCACATATCAATCCATTTTAAATGGGCTGAAATAGGTTGAGCTAACAAATGAGCGGGTCAATAATCAATCCAAATCTAAATGGATTGAGCGGGTTGGGTTTGATTTTGCCATCCCTAGTGAAAAGTCGAATGAGGGTCTCCTCACATGTGAAAGAATGATGTTAGTTTCATTTAAGGGCATGTTTTTTACTGAAAAAAATAATCTAAATAATCTCATCCATCATTTATTAAAATAACAAAACAAGGAAACAAGCGAATGTTTAGATATTTTGAAGTGAACTTAAATTTTTTACCTTTGAACGCTTATAATTGCAAAACTTGCAATCGATACTTGGACTCCTCAATGTTTTCATTTTATAATACTACAAACATCTAGTTACACCTTCCGGATTATTGAGACATGACTATAAAATTTCAAAAAACAAAATATAAAATAGAAGAAAATAAAAGATGAGTGAGAAAATGTGAAGTGACTAACTCTATATTTATTATTGAAAAAAGAGATAAAACTTCAGGTAAAAAGTTAATAAAAGAAATTGTAGTTCATCTATTTATGGGCGAACTACCTTTAAACTTGGTGATGTGTTTTAGGTTGAACTGACGAAAGTTAACTTCAATTATCACAATTCACTCATAATTGGACGAAGTGTCCATTTAGGTTTGTATTGAATCTCTTTTATTATGAAGTGCCCAAAAAATGTTCATTTTAAAGTCGTACTCTCCTTATAATCTGCAAAGAGAAAGATTATTTTTTCCAATGGTGGTATCCAGATCATTTTGAGCTCTCACTCATTAATATGGTGCAATGATGAAGTTAGTAGCTGGGATACGAGTTCGATCGAATTCAATAATTTTCACTTATAAAAAGTGTTTGTGTCAAGAAATTTATTCAATATGTACAACTATAAGAATTTAGAACTCAATTATTATCACTTAAAAGTTATCGTGATTCTAAATTGAGAATTCATAAAGTTAAAAAATCATAGCTCCGCCTCTAAATACATGATATACTTGAATAACTCTATTCAAGAGGCAAAGACCAATTAATAACATTCATGATTGAGTCAAGAAAAAAAGAGAAACACAAAATGGCCAAGGCTGTTATATTCTTATGAGTTCATATATAAGAGGAGGAAATAGTACTACTAATTAGCCCTAAAGATATATACTACAAAATTCATCTTGAGAAGAGCTTGGTGAAGAAATTTCCAGAGTTGGATTTTTCTAGGCAAGCTACGTGCGCATATCTTCCCAATTTGTCAACTTGCCTTGCTTCTCCACTCGTATCTTTCTTGCAAACCTTGCACGTTTTGTCTACCCATCCCTCCTCCACATATTGTCCATCCACTGTTAATTTGTTCCCAAAAACAAAAACAATAAAAAGAGTGGTTAATTAATGCCATAGATAATTACATAATATAATTAATTAGGAGTATATATATATAATTACCCTCAACGTAGGACTTGAAGAAATCTTTGTATGTCCCACCAATCTTCCTTCTCAGAGCTCCATACTACAAAAAAAGTCGTCTTCATAAGTAAACAAGTACTAATACACAACTTGATTAACATATAGTGTTAGTGTCGTTTGGTAGCTGGTAAAAGTTATGCAAGTATTAGTAACTTAGTGATGTACGAGGGAATTTATGTATTTTTTTATGTAGGTATTCATTTATTAGTTAGCTATATAACTTATCTCCAAACTAGTTATCAAACGATGCATAATAGAAATGAGAATTTACCTGTTCTCTAGACATTCTCTCTCCGGATTGTGTTTTTTCTCTTGCTTCATCAAGAAGCTCAGCGTCCTTTGAAGATCTAACTTGGGAAAAATCAAGAGCTTCAGTTACACTTGAAAACAAAGATTGTTTCCTCTTATTTTTTGGTTCTTCTTCTTGTGTATCCTCTTTTTTAGCCTTTGCTGAAATTGCTACTAGTTTTGATGAGCAAATTCTGCTGCTACGAAGAATACTGCATTTGGGGAAATATTCTGAACCACTCAAATAGTAATTTTGAGAAGGTGAAAAGGGAATAGCCCTCAGCCCCATTATATTGTATGAATTTGAGGCTTAATTAATTACTACCTTGAAGCTGTACCTTTATATGAGAATTTTGTTTGTGGCATACTTATTTTTTTATTTTAGAATAGAAAATGCAGGGCCAGTCCCATAACTGGTGGTGCATAACATATGACGTGGCTTTTGGCTGACAACTTAAATTCCTTAAATAAAATATTTCCCAATAATATTACTCCTCTTGTCTATAGATTTGTCTTTTTTCACCTTTCATGTAGTTATAATGAATTTTGTTTCTCTTATTAATTGTCCAACCTTCTTCCTATAAGAATCAAGTAACAATCTTAGCTTAACTAGCGTTTGATTAATTCTTGTTCAAGTATATGTTGTCTATATAGCAAGCTATTTGAAGTGTGCGCAAGTTTTCTTTGCATACCATAGTTGTAAAATTTAAAAAATAATTTTATTTCTTACTTAATGATATAATAACGTTTTCTTCTGGAGAATGAAGCAACAGACTTTTAATTATTTCCAGTTAGTCTTATATTTGCCCTGTTATTTTATCTCGAGAATGACACATCAAAAATTTGAATAGATAAGAGATCAAATAAAAAACTTCAGTAATCTGCACAATAATTTCATTTACCTCTCTAAATAAGGTCCTAATAAGATACATAGCTATATGAGTAAAGTGAAATGATTTAATTAAACAATGTAGACCATGCCAACTTCAAGAAGGGATGCTGGAGGAACTTTAAGGGATACATCTGCACCTCTGCAATTCCTCCTAAGGAAATTATAACCATAATTTATAGCCAACCTCTTCAACACAGATGATCCTTGTTTTGCTTTCACGTGTGAATGTCCTAGTACGAATGCTGTACCTGCTTGTTGTGCTGTATATAAATCTTCTAGCTCTTCCTGCAGCTGAGAACTCATTTCGTCCCGTGAATCCACTTCCGACTCGTTATCTATGGCAAATCTCACTCTTCTTTCCACAGGTTGCATCTCTATCACACTTTCAACTGTAGGGAACCCGACAGACACGCTTGCAGGCTGCATGGTTTCTTCGAGTTCGAAAGCTGGTGTGCCTGACAAATCTAGAGTTCCTATAACGGTCAGTCTACATTCTCCTGACGATGCACCAGAACGTGAGCAGTCATCCTCGTTGCATGCGTCGATGATTCCATGTGCCTTGTACCAATCATACCGGATGAAATCAGCCAGCTTACTGACTAGTTCGGATTCAAAGGAGTCGACATCCTGGTGAACGTCACGGTAACCATAACGGACAATGCATCTATAGGAACGATGAGCTGCAGGACCAACGCGGCCTACGAGGTATCTCTCAGCTGGGGGAACAAAAGGGACTGGCACGGATTTCACACACACGAAAACAAGTATCCGGTGGTAGGCAGGGAGGTTGGTAACAAAACGTGAGAAGTTGGCTGGAATCCCAGAAGTCAAATCTGTGAATACGAGGCCGATGCCAGGGACTCGAGTAATACCCAAGCTTGGACCTAGTGCCAGCAGCCATTCTAATGAAACCTTATTGTGGAGATCATATTCATACTTTTTAACTGTGGCGTAGTGCCAAACAAACATGACAGTAACCAAAAAGAGTGCAAGCAGGATTGGTAGCCAAGCGCCTTCAAGAAACTTAATGACGGAGGCTGAGAAGTAGAGTAACTCAATAGACCCAAACACAAGGAGAAATCCAAGGGCAAGTATTGGAGGCTTGTTCCAGCAGAGGATGATGACTAATGAAGTAAGGCAAGTGGTCACTAACATCACCGCCATCACTGCTAGTCCTGCAATTGATAAAGGATGAAATTATGACACCTTAAGATATACACTGAAGTTTCAAGTTAAGTGCTTGCTGAACTCTATACAGCTTCATTCATATAGAGAAGAGGGAAAAGAGACTAGTAGGAAAAGAAAACAAAAGGAAAGAGCTGTTTAGGGCCTTAGGCTGACAAGAAGGAAAAGACTCTGATTGAGTCACTATAAAAGCAGGCAGCCAGCAATGAATTGTCTTATAAGAATGCCAGGTATATGAAACATTTTTTCTATAGCATATAGTAAAGGAAACATCTACTGTAAGAAGTAATAAAAGATTTTTGAAGATCACACATTAAGCCACATTGAAGAAGTTAATCAGAACTGTTAAAAGGCTTTGAAAATGACTGACAGTAGACAGTAATTGATGCCTTTATAACGTGGCTTGGAGAAAGAATGATTGGTCACAAGTACCTGACGCATTTCCCATGTGCTTTGTGTCTCTGAAACCAATAGTCACAGCAACACAAAGAATCATGAGTATCCAATTGATCTCGGGTATGTATATCTGGCCATGTATCTTGGCATTGGTGTGAACAACCTTGACTCTTGGGAAGCAACCAAGGGATTGACTCTGGTTGATTATTGAGAATGTTCCACTGATGATTGCCTGACTTCCCACAACAGAAGCCAGAATTGCTATTACTAGCACTGGCCATCTCACAACATCTACATTGCAATTAATTTTTTTTTTAAAGAAAAAACAGAGAAGGAATAAGTCACTGAAAAATATGCATGGAATTCAAATGAAAATTGATAAACATGATCAAGAAGTTTGTTCTACAAAACCAGCTTATGTTCATGAAAACAATTGTTAACAACGGATAGAGATGGTGGTCTTTCTCTGATGTCTACAAGTACTTATATAGGCCCAGTCCCATACAATGCCTTAATGAAGTAAACACTATGAAAACACCCACAATTTGATTGAGGATAGGCCAGACTTGGCTCATACTTGAAAAAAATAATCATTTCCATAGTCCATGCCCTTCACAATTCAGCACTAGTTCATTTCAGATATCTTGATGCAACAACTGGATAACAGTGTCTAAATTTTTTATTTTTATTTTTACCCTCCCAGGAGCTACCACCCCTTTTGCTCCCTTGGTGACTCGAACTCGCAACCTTCGGGTTGGAAGTGAGGGGTGTTTACCATCCGAACAACTCCCTCTCGTCATAACAGTGTCTCAATAATTATCATGTTTAGACATCCAGGTCATTCAGGTTTCAATTTCATACATAAACCGTTACATCATGAAGAACTTGAATACGTAAATAATACATTGCAAAGGATATCAACTAGCATGGTTGCATATCTGCTGACAGAGAAATCCTTACATCTAGAGCAATTGTTGACTTCAAGTTCAACGTTGCTCATTGCTGTACTAATGATAGTTCAAGCATCAAGAGTTTCAGTTCAATTGTATGAATTATAGTATACATCCCTCGAAACTGAGATCAATTTACTTTAAATGTAGAACTTCTACTCCCCCAGTCCCAACAACCTTCCCATTTTAAGATGTCACAAAACGTTCGACCATATGACAGGTAATATTATTCTATACAACTTTCAGAATATCCAACAATACAAATTCATTTAACTATCAAATGTTAAAGATGTTTTCTGTATCACTTCTCAACCAAAAATTAATATTTTCTTCTACTATCACTACCATATTATACATGTCCTTTTTTTTTTTGTGGAAAAACATATTATACTTGTCAAATTATTACCTTCAAGTCAATGTCTAGTTATTACCAAAATATTGAACTAGATAATTAAAAAGAAAAAAAGAAGTTACTACCAAAATATAAAATGTGTAGCTTACCTACTTTAGTGTCTTGAATATACACAAATTTATCAACTGAAAGCTCAAACTCCATATCAAACATAAGTACATAACTATGTATGCCTTTTTTTTTTTAACTATGTATGCCTCAATACCATCTAAACTTGTTTAACATTGTAATGATACCTGGAACTGATACATAGAAACCAATCTTGTGAATGGTGTGGTGATGCTTTGATAAGAAAGCTGCTTGACCCATATAGGCCAAGATTAGAGCTGGGTAAACCAGAAAGGTGAATGCAATCTGTGGCAGGATAAAGAATTAGAGATATCATTTGAGATTAAAATACAGTCTATTGCTGTAAACGTATAAGGACAAAATTTGGTTCATAGAGTTTACTTGAATTGCAGTATATGAGAAATGCCCAAGATCAGCAAACATTGCTTCAGAACCTGTAATACGGTAAATAAAACATTTTAACATTCATTACTGAAACATTGGATCTTTGTTGCAGTGCATCACTATGTCCTATATAGTACACTATTTTTTTTTTGAGAAAGGTAACTTGACTATGTCCTATATAGTACACTATTGATACCATGATTATAGCCTAACCAAATCTAGATGCATATAGTACACTATTGATACCATATCAAAGCATGATCCAGAGGTGAACAATGTTGAATATAAAAACATTATCAAGTATCAGGCCATACATTACATCAGAACACAATTCTCTCCCCATCACAATTTATTTGTTTCTTTTCTCTAATGAATGATCCAATTTGACCAATCTTCAGAGGTATATAGAATATAGAATGGTTCTTTTTTTTTTTTTCAATGTAAAACTTGGACATTTTGAAACTACGAAAGAGAAAAAAGTTGCAACCTTTTCCATGTTAAAGTGATGAAAGAATACATCAAAATTTTCAAAGACAACTTTGTTTGGCTCTTGGCAAGGGAAGACGCAACGATTTTATGAAAGAGAGAGTACATTTAAGCAATTGGCAGATTGCATTATATGAATCTGTACTGAACAGATGCTTCATCTGTTTTGTCCTGATTTACAAATATGCATTTTCTAACCAACTGCTCTCATACTATTAATTTCAATCAAGTATTTCATGTCAATTTTTTACTAGAATAGCCTTCAACAAATCCTAGAACCATAGATCATGTACTACCACAAATTGGACCTTATATTTGCCAACTGACATGCTTTTAGATACTAGAGAACAGGCGTCTGACATATGAACAGGTAAGCCTACAGAAAGCAAGGTACATACAATAGCATCACTTTTAGCATGTACTAGATGGCAGCACCTGATTTATATAAAGCTGCATATTGGACTTCAGAAGATATACCAAAGAAACGGAGCTTATGACTACTCTAATACAAAAAAGCGAAGTGTAAGAAGACATATTACCAGTTATGCAGAGCAGAATTCCA